TGAAAGAAGTCTATTGTGACTCTTGCAACATGTGGTCGGGCATTATCTTGTTGGAAAGTTGGATCTGCCAGGGTGTCAAGATAGGGTAAAAGGTGGGGTTCTAGAACTTCGTGGATATAACGCTGCGCGTTCATGTTACCTCTGATGAAGATTAAAGGTGACCTGGAACCATAAGCTATAGCACCCCAAACCATAACTCCAACAGTGTGATGAACATGTCTTTCAACAAAAAACTGTGGATTCCTCCTTTCACCACGTCGCCTTCTAACCCTGGCACGACCATCGTGCATGCCTAAACAAAATCGAGACTCGTCACTAAAGACAATACTGTTCCATTCCTGATCCCAGAGTGACCGTTGTCTGCACCACTCAAGGCGATTACGTCGGTGTTCTCGAGTTAAAGGGAGGACCCAGTGTGGCCGGTATGAAAACAAGCCAAAACTTCTCATTCGTCGGTAAACACTTCGCATGCCAATAGGTCTTCCGTGTTCTGCAAACCATTCATTTGCAATGGACCTGGTAGTGGAGAAACGGTCCCTTAAGGCCAATAATCTTAGGCGGCGATCTTCACGGTCTGTTGTTCTACGGCGGCGTCCAGTGCCCCTTACTCTTTGCGTACGGCCTTCTCGAAGCCATGCCTGACAACACCTAACCACAGTGTCTACACTTCTTTGCACTCTAACTGCAATTGCCCGAAAAGAAAGTCCAGCTTCCCGAAGTCCCACTATACGGCCCCTATCAAACTCACTAAGTTGACGAAATCGTACAGGTCTCCGTACTCTAGGCATCTAACCGATCGTAAAGGATGTCAAGAACCAAAATCCGCCAACGTTGATTCTGTAGTGCGGCTGAAATGTTCATTTTTAGAGCGTTAGTGAATTAAAAAAAGCAGTATAAAAACCGGAATGTCCAACTGATAAGGCTGAAAAATTTTTCACTTGTTATTTACAGTAAGATAAATACATTCACCAACTTTTATTAAAATAAAACCATTTAAACTGGGTGTTCGGATTTATATGTCACTTAGTATATATATACAGGGTGACTTCGAAGTTGAGACATTTATTTTAACAGTGAGTAGATCTGATCAAAAGAAATGTTTTTTCCTTTACCATTTTTCTGGTAAAATTAAAGTAACAAAGTTATAGCCCTTTGGAAGTTTAAGTACCGCCCTGTCTCAATAATAATATCATGTGCTCGTATTTGGCAACAACTGATATAATCCGCCTTATCGGTTCATCGCATCGGAAACAAAAAAGCGAAAGAATTTGGAACGATGTCTTTACAATTATTTTATTCAGTTCAGTTATACATACAGTCAGTGTCAGTCGGTAACGCGTGTGAATAGTGTCTGTTGCGTGGCTCAAACGAAATAAAAAAATGGCACATGTTTATGCGGATCGGTTTCCCAATCGAGTGCAACCAACCCCTCGTGCCTTTGTTAATGTAGTACAACGGGCTCGTGAATCAGGTGACTTAAGACCTCACAGGGGACCTCACGATCAAATACAGGTCCGCACTGAAATACTTGTCGGGAGGATACTTTATAAAACAAGGTAAAAATTTTTTTTTAATTTTTTTTTTCATTTTTACACACATATTTTGGTTTATCTTCCTTCTACAATCATTATCTGAAAATTAATGACTCAACTTCAAAGTCACCATATAGTATATATGCAGGAATTTAGAGTGCGAAACCGACCTGATGCAGTTTAACGCTTCCAAAATGGTATTTGAATACCAAGTTCTACCAAAGAGCCGTTCATTTCAGCTAGTCGGAGTCCATATCACCGAGGTATTAATCTGGCACGGCAGATGCTGGGAAAAGCCAGGCTATTTGTTTTAGGCTAAGAAGTACTTGTCTCCGCATAACATCCTCACTCTAAACAAGGCCCAGATGAGACCCAGCCTCGAGTGCTGCTCACATGTTTGGGGTGCGGTCGTCCCGACTACTGTCCGACTGATCGATGATTCTTCTCTAACAGACAGTCTCGGGACCCTTTACGTGCCTCTTGAGATCTGGCTCTATTCTAACGCTATGTCAACGGGCTTTGCTCCTCAGAGAACATGCATTGTGCCTGAGGCGGCTTTTCCCAGTTCTGCTAAGCTTAGACAAACATCGAACTAACAAGGAGTCTTCAAGCTCCTGATAGCCCCGGTATTTATTTTCTGCCTACGCGACTGCTTCGTTATAAAAAAGTAAGCAATTATGGGAGCATAAAAAATCGATCCTATTTGCACGAAATTTAAATTATTCGGCTTAATATAAATATTGGAAGAGAATTGTACTTTGAAGAACAGTCGTTAGATTCTAAGATTTAGTGATGTTTCAAGCTTTGACCGAAACCAAATGACATTTACCTTTTTCAATAATGGTAAGTAGACGTTGCTCAAACTCTGATACAAGCATAAAGCTGGTGAACCAGTCAAAGTTATTATTTGTATGTTTAAAAACAGATTTTCGTCAACTGGTACACATGGTTTATTTTTGACAAAAATTACCAAGTGATCGTAGGTTTCATCTCCGACCTGCAACGTAAAGGTATACTTTAATTTCCAAAATTATCAAGCTCACAAAAAGGAATGTATTCGAAGTAGAGACAACCTGAAAGTCTCGGGACTTTTTTAGTTACAACTATTCTCTAAAGAATTTCATTTAGTGGTATTTTTTATATATTTACATCCTCTTAAGTATGATAATGATAATCATAATGAAATGATATATACCGTTTTCGAAAATGTTATCCGCTTATTGCTTCCGACGTCTTTAACAATTGCATAAATGTTCAAGAAATTATCTTCTTCCAAATAAGCCTGTAAGTCTTCTAAACCTTTGATAGTTTCATCCCAGCTTTCATCATCGAATGATGTTCCCATATACACACCTGCATAATAAAATCGATTTATCCACAAAGTTCTATCAGTCACCAGACTAAGCACGCGACTCCGCTCGTGTATTCAAAGTATGGACATTTTTTATCAAACTTTTTAATGCAATTTGCATATTTTTCTAACCGACGACAACGGTTATATCCATCATACGTTTCGACTCAAGTGAAGATTATAAAACGCGCCAAAAATGAAGGAAACTCAACACACTTGAGTAATTTGGTGCTTCAAATCTGAATGTGAGTCTTGAAGAATACTAAAAGTCAGAGAAGCTAATTTCGATATCAGGATGACTTCTTACCTACGGCATTTATAAATGACTTTTTCGCATAACTGGACATATTTTTCAACGAAGAACTGAAGAAATCAAACACTTTGTATCCATATATTTTAGACACTGTTCTAAGACTTCTATTTATTCCTTTGATTACAACTATACGCAGTTTTTGAATGTTTGTATTGTAAATATATGATGTTATATTCGTATTTCCCTGGCAACGACGACATTTATTTGATTAAGTGACTGGAACCCAGGATGCTTCATTTGAGTTTATTTTTTATATTTTGCAAAAGCAAATTTTTAAATATCAGAAACAAAACGTGCCTTGCAATGATCCATCCCTTCTTTTCTCAAAAATTCAAATTATTTGTAGAGCGCCACCTATTGTTGTATAGGTTAAGCTTGAAAAGATAACACTTGCACAGAACTGCATAGAGCTACAACACTATCGGAGTGGAAACTTTAGAAGACAAGTATCAGTATCTACCATCTTGAACCGAAATGCTCTTAAAAATTACGCCTAGTAAAATCGAAATAATCTTGAATACCTATTGCTTTTTATTATTAAGGATGCAATAAGATTATAATAACACTATAAAAATCAAATTCAAGCCGATAACCAAATGAAAATGGTATTTACCATTTTGGGTTGGTATTTACCGATCCGTTCAAGCGAGTGTGGTTATCAGTTTGGTTATAAGATCCGTGACGTCATGAATCAGCTGTTATATGTCACAGTTATCACCGTAAAATTGTGGTATTTACCCAACTCAGGAGTAGTTTTATATTTCTGGTTATTATTTGAAATGTGGCAAGTTAGAATTTTGCCGGGTATTGGATATTGTTATTGTAATTCCTGTGTTTCCTTTTTGGGAAACTTGATACAGGCTGACTTCAGTGTTAGCATAAAGTGTAGCACCTTATTAGTTATACTCATTACTGTTGTTGGGACACTTTCAATCTAGTTCCTATGTTTAACAAAGTATCCTGTGTTGCCATATACCACAAGAATATTAAAATATGACCATTTAACTAACTGGATGATGTCCACCTGTATACGGTTTTGCTAATATCTTTTCATCGTTTTTCATCATTTCTGCTAAATCAATAAATGTTTTCTTTGACATGCGGAAAACTTTAGAGAATTGAAAGGTATCATAGCTACAAAACCATCGTTCCATCATTATTTTTTTTTTCTGAAAAAAAAAACATTTCTCCCATGAATATTATGAAAGGTTTCTTATTTAAACTTTCCATACACCGTTGTAGACCAAAAAAGCACCGATTATTAAGTGATAACAAAAATAATCAGAGATTATATTCGCACTTTTCTAAAATAAACAACTTCCAACAAAACCGCGGTTAAAACCAACGCGTTCAAGCGATTCGTGCAACTGACGTCATCAACCCGTGTGTCATCTTGAACCATATTATAACCGCGGCACATAACACAGAAATTTTGGTTATTCACTTGGATTTGATTAAAGTGTTCCTAGGAAGACAAATCGATAAAAATGAAAATAGTGCATGACTTGATGTCCAGTTCTGTTAGTTAGCATGAATTTTACGTATCTCGATTATGGATTCTGTGAAGATGGGGGACAGAGGGAAAGTCAGTTGCGCGGCCAGTGGCGTACCGAAGCTTTGGACTACGGGATTTTTGTGTCACTAAGAATGATTTTTTTTTCTCCGATTCGAGAATTGTATGCATTTACACAGCTTGAACATCTATGTATTTAATTTTCGAATATATTGAGGAGATTATGAAATAAAAAACTAAAACAATTTATAAATAAAAGCATGTTATAATTTATCACATTTATTTACCAGATTATATTATTGGCCTATACCACTTTATTTCACTACCCAAACATCCACTAACCAGCTGGTAATGATTGGGGCTGAATTTACAAGATACCACAACATCCTTATGGTAATTCTCCAGCTCCACAATACTCTTCAATTGCCGAGGATTATCAGGAACACACATCGATAACTCTTGGCACTTCTCATTGAAAGCTAACAGTCTTATCCCTTTGTTACTGGGTGAACAGATAATTCTACCATCATTAGAAAAGCAGGGTTCTTTAATATACCCCTTCCCAACAATATCTTCTTTTATGAAATGGGTCATCCTCGGTAGATTCCTTATTATTTTATTTCTATGCTCAGGATGTTGAGAAAAGTATACACTGAATGAAGTGTTTAGTCCTATCAAGCCACTGTTCAGTATTCCCATAGACGGCAGGTTCTCCCAAACATCATGTGCAGAATTACTTAGTTCTCTATGGCGGTTACTGTATTCATCCAGAGAAAGGTACCCCATCCAAAGATCTGTAGGCCTATGATTGTTCAATTCCTCCGAGTCGACTTCTTCAGGGATCTCCTCCTCAATCTGGCTAAATGCATTCTCATAGTCCTTAGGATCTCTTGTTTGTATGTCATGTACACAGGTCCACTCTTCATTTTCTTCCTCGGTAAGGTTTCTTGAGACAGCACACCAGCCATGTGGGTGAATTTGTAACGAGCTAATCACAGCAGCATCATTGGGAAAGTCATCTATGAATTCAATCCTATTCCTTTTTCTTGTTGTTGAAAATAGATAATTGTAGATAGTTCCAACAGGAAAACACTGATCACTTATCTGCATTAATCTGTACAAGTTTGGCCTGAAGGATCGCAAATCAGTGGCTAATGTTTTGAGATTTAAGTCATGAATGATTATCATGTATCCATTGGTGGTGGAAATCACCATTTTTGTACCATCTCCTGTAAGTTTCATTCTCATTAGGCCATTCATGAGGAAAACTTTGTCATACAGCATATTATTTTCAGTATGGCTCTTTAAATTCCAGGCATAGACACTGCCATCAAAAGCTGAGGTAACCATAACGTTTTCCTTTTCAGACCACTCAATGTTCTTTACCCAGTTCGAATGGCCATGCAAGGTTCGCATACTATACTTCACATTACGTATATCCCACAGTTTTATTGAGGTGTCATCCGAACATGTTGCAAAATGTATGTTATTTAAAAACTTCACACAATTCACACAATGTTGGTGCGCATTTTCAACTGTATGTACTACTTTCTGAGTTGCAGCATCGAAAAGAAGGACTTGTTTCCCTTCACACACAGCAACTAAGAGCTTGCCGTCCAAGCTGAACTCTAGGTTGAAGATTCCTCCATAGTTGGGATCACATTCTGTGTTCTTTGTAGAGCATTCATAGAAGTTGCTGTACAATTTGAACGCTACCAAGTCTTCGTAGCCTATCTTGTACTCCTTCAGTCCATATCGCCTTGTTTCCAAGTGCTTGATGAAGTGAAAATTTGAATTTGAAGCCACCGCTATCCTGCTGGGTGTGTTGCTACTGTTGGTAGTAGAGGTCATTTTCGCTAACTTACGTTTTGTAACGTATATGGAATTACAGTTACGAAGTACTAACTGAGAATAATCATAGTTCTTTCACTTTACGGAATCATTTCATAACTAAGATTAAAATGAAAAACGCACTGCAAAACTTTCTTTTCCCAAAATATTTAATTTTGGGTCGCTCAAGTTGCATTGCCATAATGACAAACACATGACAAATGACTTTTGGCATAGAGGGCATAGATGTTGCTTATCTCCGATTGCATAATATCTGAATTAAGTAGAGCAGTATTGGCGTCAGCCATCTACATACCTGATAATATATATTTTGTGATAGAAAATGGCAGATGTGTGTTGTTGGAGGGGAAATGAATACGTGGCTAAGTGGAAATAAACCACAGGAAGAAAAATGACGAATGGAATATACAATTATAGAATATTATAGAATAAAAACCGACACTATCTTATTCTTGTTTCCAGCAGTCCAGTTCTATAATACTTTGCCGCATGCTGTGACCTTGTGTTTTGACAGCGAATTGTCTTGATGTCATTTTGTAGTTTTAAATTTTGGATTTCTAATATTTGTATTTTTGTCTGCCACTGGGATATTTTTCTAAAACAGTGCCAAAGGTAAGAAATATATCCTAATCGGACATGACGGGCTTGAGAAGTGAAATGCGATACCTGAATCCCTATGATGTTCACAAAATGCTGATAAACGAATATGTTTTGCGACGGCCTGGGGACACCGCTTTATTAAAAAGAGACGCATCCAAGGATAGAACAGATTACCATGTAATCAGAGACAATCACAAATTCCTTTGGGACGACAATGATACCCCTTTGACTTGGGAAGAGCAGTTTGCTAGAAAATATTATGAAAAATTGTTTAAAGAATACTGCATTGGGGATTTGAGTTTGTACAAAGAAAACAAGGTATGTTTTTTCTAAATATCGTTTGAGATTGTAATACTTATTGCATAGTATTTTAAAAAAGGTATAATCGGATCGCCTTACTTACTAGAAATGAGTTTGTAAGGTGGCATTGAGATGGCGAATAGAAAAAGAAGTCATCAGTGGCAAAGGACAGTTTATCTGCGGTAATAAGAAATGCAACAGTGACGAGAATCTGAGAACTTGGGAGGTCAATTTTGCATATATAGAGAAGGGAGAAAAGAAAAATGCATTAGTTAAAATAAGTAAGTACTTGGACTCATTTTACGTTAGGAATTTCAATTCATTAAAGGATTATGGGTGGCCAGCAAGGAAGTTTCCTTAGATTTATTCATTCATCTTAAATTTATGACAGATATGAAACCTCTTTATGTATTAACATTGATTAACATATTGCACATCCCGTTCATAACTGCAAAATAAATACTACCAAACTGCCTATATAGCAGTTTTACCTTACAGAGTGTTTGACTCTGCTGTCTCATAGATAGTGCAAGGTCATCAATCCCTTATTGGCACCTCTCTAATACGTATTTTAATTGGGTATCCTCAGGCAATGATTAACCTATTCTCATTGAAGATATCTAATTAAAATTGGAACTAAAAAGGGATTTAATGCCCTAGTGCCATCTATGAGACAGCATCGGAACCAAATACTCTATCTCTTTCCAAAATCAGTTTTGTGTTCTGCTACTGTCTAATAGATGGAGATAGCGTATTTTGGATCCCTTTTTGGGCGATAGAATACACATATTAGCTATTTTCAGTGTCTTATCTTTGCAGGATTGTGTCCTGCCTGTTCAAAAAAACTGAACTACCACACACGAAAGAAAGAGATCAAAAGGTTAAAAAAAGGGAGCAAGAGAAAATCAAAATCAGAAAAAGAAACAGATGATACTCATCATGCTTCTTCAAGTAGTAAGGAATCGTGCAGTAGTGACAGCCAAAAGGTTAATAATGAAGAGTTAGCTTCAACTTCAGCTATCAATAATGAGGAGTCACCATGGGAAAATCACAAACCAGTGGAAGTTAAGTCAAGAGAAGAAGAAATGGAAGAGTATTTACAAGATTTGCTTCTTTAGAACTAGACGTACATAGTAATGCTTTTTTTTATTGATTTTAAAGTATGTTATATTTCAAAATACTACTTCAGTAATAGAATTCACAAAACTGAAAAAATACAAGACATTTGAGTCTTGTCATATTTTCCAAATATACATATCTATGCGTCAACAGGTTAGTTGTTTTTTATTACCCTTTCCTAACTGACTATTCAAGGGCAACCAGTGCAAATTTCTTAGGACTCCCAAATCGTAGCTCCAGGCTCTACCTTGGCACTTAAGTTACAGGCTCTGCTACAGCTCTGTTTTGGACAATGTAATAAATTGTGAAGAAAATGAAGGCCTTGGATATTGCTTCAAATTTTTATTTAGTATTTTCAATACATAACATTTAGATTGATAAAAAACAAAGAAACTACTGTAATAAAAATACTTGTATAAAAAACTAATTGAATAATCACAAATTGTCACAATTGGAAACAATTCATCATGAGCAATATTTTATAATTTTAGTGGACATTTTATTTAATAATACCCCATAACATTTTTTCAAAATCACTGAAATAGTTGCCAGTATTTATTAACGAATCTTGTATGCTGCTCTAATACTGCATAATATTGCTAAACCATAAGGGTATCGACTCCTCTCAGAGCTTGTACCTATTAATATGTACTTTCATTTACAAAAATCACTTTTTTGTTAAATTTATTTTGTAAGCAATACACAAAAGTAGCGACATACAAACAATAAATATATTCCTGACTGAAACAAAAATTAATAAGATTAAAGTGAGCATAAAGATTAATTCAACTGCAAGCAACAGATATCATTCTGGGATTCTGCCAGTCCCATTATTGAAGCTATCTGTAAAAATGGGACTGGTTGGCTTCTCTTGTGAAATTAAGAATTACATGTATTTATTGTAAAACTGTATTAAATAATCCAACCAATCTTATGAGGTATAAAGTTGTGCGCATAAATAAAAAACAGTAAGCATAGTTTTTTGGGCTACTCCCTCAATGGCTCTTGTTGGATCCGCTCTTATCCTCGCTGTCTTCATCAGAAAAGTCTTCATCGTGGGTGTGTGTGAGGGACTGTGGTGTTGCCGGGCGAACGTGTGGTATTTGACTTTGGGTTCTCTCCAGAACCTGCAAAAACATTATTTGAGCCATTAAAGCATTGGTTATCCTATTCTACCAGAAGATAGAAAATCTGTACACTGCGTCTAGATCTCGAAAAATACGCAGTTTTTTCTGTAGCATAAACATAACCGAGATATTGTTTCCCACAAAAATTGGTGTATCTATTTTATGCGTCCATATTTTAAGTACCCCCTTGAACAACTTGCATCAATAAAACCAGACTTTACAATTATTTCGTCTAATATGATTGGACTATACTGTATTATGTAACGATAGTTGGTTTTTGTCGTATATCAATTTGTTCGCAGTTTATGGTTGGTGTGAATCAATATTATTATATCATTATTGTTTTTGTGCAGGATCTCTATGCATACCTTTTTAATTTTCTTATCATCATCATCTTCAACTGCAGGGTTGGTCTCATCCATGAATTCAGTGACAAACTGTTGCTCATGGGCTACTGTAGATTCGTGTGGCAACAGCATTGCAGGCGCCCTGAACATGTACGAGAAAGGATAGTAGAGAAGGTTCAGATGTGTAGCTGCGTACAAATCTGCGTACCTCACGACCTAAAACAAATACTAATTACTAAAATAGTGTAAGATATATTTTGCCATTCTGAACGTAACGGCTTTAAAGTCAGAGACATGACAGTTGTTCAAGATTGTACGTGAATTTTCGAGCCACTTAAGGGGCTTATATTCAAGTTACTTTTCTTTGGCAACCAAAGTTTGACAATTCAAAGGTAGAAGTACTCGATACACCTGGCCACATAAAGTGTATTTTTCGCAATTGTTTTTGATGATACACTGATGAGAGAAAAAAGCAGATATAAAGCTAAATAAATTAAATTATTTTCTGATATGATTGGTTCTTTATAGCCAAAGACGTCATCAAGATTATAATATTACTTGACACATATTTTAAACGAGATGATAAAATCGCATTGTTTCCAATGAGTATCTTATTGTCCAAATCTATTGTATGTATCTCAAAAAAAAAACAAATGAGATATGAAGGAATTATGGATATTGCAAAGACCACCGAATTGTTCTGGTTTCTAATTACCTGTGAAGAGAAAAATGTTTGCCTAGATCCAGATCTGAATAAACTTCCCATCATTCCATATGCCATGTCCATCTTGTGAGTTACTTCTCTGATTGCAGCTCTGAGATTAGATATATCTGGTTTCTCCTTTGTGCTGCTGTCCAAGTTTCTGCGAGAAAAACAATGCTCTTACAAAAAAAAATTGCTTATGCTTGATAAAATAGCATATACCTTCAGGCGTTAATAAAAAACGGATCCTAGAGTAATTTTCATAAACGTAAACTTTGATGATAAAATAACTTACTTGTACATCTCTCCCAGCCTAATGTCCAAATTCTGCAGTTCATTGAACAATTGACATTTATCGGTCCACACGTGCAACTCTCTGACTAATTCTGGAATAATAAGGAATGTTCGCCAGCCTCTGATCTTCTTGCTCTTCAAAATGTCGCCAAATATGTGGTCACCCACGTAAAGTACGTCTTTGCCTGCAAAATTACAACAGTCGTAATCAACAGATTCAAGTTTGCGAGTCTCGCGTTGGATGCCTCAAAAGTCAAAACTTGCCGAGTCTTTTGAACTGTATCTCGTGAATCTTACATTAAAAACCCGTTATTCTGATTCCGTCAATTTGATTTTACCAAATTTTATTATACCCAATTTTAATACTGCTAGTACGGTCCAATGAGACCTCTAAATCCATCAAGTCGTTTTGACTGTAGCTCCTAAAATAGAATTTTTGTCCTCATGCATACTGTAACGCAACTGGGACCTTGAGTGGCGATGGGACGGCTTTGGAGTGTCGACGTTTAGGCAACCCGTTTCACGACCATGCGTGCATGCTTGCGGCGATATCTAGACGTTTTGGCTGAGGTGCGAGATGTATCTACTGTTACCGCGACGCGGCCTGGAAGACACTGAATAGAGAATAAATACAAGCAGAGTTGGCAAAAGGAAGAAAGACGGTCAGTCGACGTAGTTATAAATTTGTTGCAACTGTTGAATAAATTAGTGTATCAGTAGTAAATTAGACTTTGAGTAGTAAAAACGGTGTTTTCGTACAAAACATACACATCCACGCACGAAAAACGTAACCCTCCTCCTGAGGCAGTCGGATAGAATGTGCTAAATTCTTGACTATCCCTGTAGAGCCTCACCTTTAGCTCCAATAAACTTGGTGAAGACGTCGCAGGACCCTCCAGAATAGACATGTTCTGCTTGGAGCGGTCCGGTATGGACTCCAACGCGTAGACCTCCAGTGTTGATATCTACTTGACGCAAAATGGTACCTTCCCCGAAGAAAAGAGGTTTGCGAGCGTCTACCACGACCACATCGAAGTATGTCGTCCAGTTTCGGTGAGGTTCGTCAGGCTGAAAAAATAAAAATTACAGAATAGCTAAACTTGGGCTATGCTGGTTTTGGGTGGTGCCATTTTAAATTCGAAATGATGACATCGAGCAATCTCAGCATGTTACAGAGACTATTGTAGTAACCACACACATTTTGAATGGTAAAGAAATGTTTAAACAAAAGCTGACCTCTTACCTTTGCGCCGTGTGGAAAATCAAACAAATACGTCATGATCCTGTTTGTGAAGTTGTAATCGCTGTTCGTTAATAGAAAAGTTTTTGCTCCGCTTTCTCTAAGCCGGCTCAAAAACATAGGAAGACGTTCGTCTTTTTTTACATATTTTTCCAAATTCTCGATTGTCCTCTTTTTCATATCGCCTTGCAAGTGTACATAATCTACAGCATTTCTTACATCCTAAAAATAAGTTCAGGTTAAGATTATCAACCTTTTTCCGAAAGTTTTTGGGGTGTCCGGATATTTTATAGACTGTATAGTTGTGAAGGTAAATGGTTGACGCTACCAAGGTAGATATGCTTATTTTTCTGCAGGAATATGTCAATGTCACTGTTGCAAATTTGAAATAAGAACAACGTACCTGGAAAATGGATTTGTATGACATGAGCAGCTCTCCGCATTTTACACCCGTATCGGTTTTCGTATATTCCTTAGAATTAGTGAAGAAATCGACTAGACAAGCTAATAAATAGGTTTCAGGTAGATTGAATAGCGTATTCAAAACATACACTCTAGATTCGTCGAGGGTCAAGAATTTGTTTGGGTAGAGCTCGTATACTCTCGAACTGAAAAAAATTTCATTTATAAGTCATTCTCGTTATTTAAATTCGAGAGTAATTTCCATGTTCAGACTTTTTAAGCGGTGCCACTAACTTACCCCGAAATCAAATGTCTTTTTATCGACGGACAGTTTCGGAAAAGTGATCGCTTCGGCACTTTTCACCGCTACTGCTAGTGGCCCTACTATTGATAGTCTGTACACCCTATACTTTTCTCAATGCTCTAATGCCTACTTACTGTTTTAAAAACTCGAATCCGTGCACAGCGACTAAAATATTGCCATAAGCATCTACTTTTAGTAGATTCCCATATAATGTGTCGAACCATAATCCTCTGAAAAAATAGAATAATCGTCAATTCAATATTATAGTAAGACGCAAAAATGCATTTCACAATTTAACTAAGAATTTACGTATTTCCAGTACTCAAAACTGAGATTTCCTCTGTAAATTCATATAAATGCTCATTTTGGATTGAATATCTATTTCATTAGTTAATGTAGGTTATATACATGATGTAAAATGCACGCTATAAGTAATTTTATGAATTATTTAACAATTAAACTCAATTCCGAATGCGCACTGAACCATCTAATATTTTAATTATAAAATAATATATTAATCATATGAAATCAATTATGTACTCGTATACAGGATGATCCATCTCATGTTGACGTCTACTAAGGTGAACAGCTTATCAGCAAGTTTCAACTTTGCATTAGCCTGTAAGGTGTAAATTTAGTGAAACTTGCTTGTAGAGATTTTTTGTAAGCAAATGAACTTTTCTAAATAAAGGTATTGTTAGCCAGTACAAATTGGAACTGTAGCATACAAAAAACAAAACAAAATACGGCTTTGTTTACGAGCCGTTGACGAATCCGTCAGAATCATGTGTCATTTGTCGATATTTTAAAATATTACTACTGTGTATCTAACGAAGCTACAAAGTGATCGTAAACAGTGGTTGATTCGTGATCAATGCGTGATCGGTAGCCATGGCGCTCTGTCGGCCTCTTCCTGATTGGCTTGTAGCGACGAGCCTCCAGACAAAGTCGCACGGTTGCCACGCTCGGCGAGTTTTCGCCAGAGTGGTTGATCACATTCGCATGGATCACAAATCAATCTGTTGGTGCAATACGTGCAATAACTGTTGTAAAGGACATTATATAACAATAAATGGCATCACAAAGGTATATTCCAATTTGATCTGCAGCAAATTATGAACGGCATATACGGAGACGCGAAAACAAGCTCAAAAAGGTGAAGAAAATTTTTGTGCAATCTTTATAGTTAAATTTTTCCTAAGAGATAGCATCAGTGAGGGAATTTTTTTCTATTGTCTTATTTTTCATATTAATGCGATGTCGAGGTATGTGGCCCTATCGCAATTGAAAATAAGGTTTCGATAATCCTTCCATAAAGTTTCGATGAGTACATCTGAAATAACCTTGAGATATTCTTCAGGGAAATACAAAAATCTCCTTTTGTGTTTTTTTGTGCAGATTTATCTATTAAAATCCTATCCGCAATCTATTTTCCGTGCACACACCTTCAACCGAATGTATGCCATATATGATATTACCGTTTCCAACTTTCACCAAGGTTAATAGGAACCATAACAGCTCCCTACCCTTCCCCCCTATAAGAATATCGATTTTCACATTTCAAGGTTAGACTTCTTGTAATGTTTCTGTTCAACATTCGGCGATTTCTGACAATTTTCCCAATAAAACATGATCATTGTGACATTAAGCCTGGCAACGCTGCATAGTAGAGGGAACTCTCAGCGTCACGTTGATGGTTCGTCACCACGCACAGGATTGTAATCAGTTGCGGATACCCGTTTATGAGCGCGAACGTTTTATGCACGTCTTGACTTGATTTTTCTTGCGGAAATTTAATATTAGTCTAAAATGTCTGACACAGATACAGCTGATGAAGTGGTTGAAATCAGCTTAATGCCACCCAGCAAAGGGGCTAAAAAGCTTCATCTTAGCGCAGGTGAAAAACAAATTATTCTAAATATCTACAAGAACCAGATGCAAGAGAATAGTGGATTGGCTATAGAAAATATCGTATGTAAGGTTGCTGAAATTTCTGGAGTAGGTCGATCAAGTGTTTACAAAATCTTGAAGGAATATAGACAAAATCACTCACTATCTGAGCCAACAACATATCCAGCGAGAAAAAAAATCATCGAAAAAATAGATGACTTTGACAAAAGTGCCATTAGAAGAAAAGTACATCACTTTTTCTTCAGGAATGAAATACCTACAATAGATAAAATATTGAAGCAAGTGAATGATGATGAAGACCTGCCAAATTTTAAAAGATCTACGTTCCATAAGCTGTTGAAAGAACTAGACTTTCGATTTTTGAAAAGAGGAAGGAATAGTTTATTGATAGAAAAGGAGGAAATTGTTATCTGGAGGAGAGAATAGCTTAGAAAAATTAGGCAATTCCGCGCTGAAGGAAGAAAAATTTATTATTTAGACGAAACATGGGTGAACGCGGGGCATACGCAGGGAGAGGTTTGGGTAGACAGATCTGTGAGGTCCTCAAGGCAGACTTTTTTAGATGGCCTTTCGACGGGATTGAAAAATCCTGCAGGTAAGTTTCGAAGTATATGAACTTTATAAGATGCAGATAATTCATTTTCTGATCGAATCAATGATTTGGAAGCTCCGAACTCAGTTTTGCTATCTCATCCAAGTTTCTGAGTATCTCCTTCACCCAAAAACTAATCTAAGACCCTATCCTACACTAACCTAAAAAGAGTAATTTGCTTAATTTCGTCATTTAGTGCGCTCGCTGAGAAGTAAAATAACTAATTACTTTCAGGCAAGGGAAAACGCCTGATCATTTGCCACATAGGTAGCGTAGATGGATTTGTTCCTGAAGCATTGTGGGCATTTGAATCCAAAAAAACTGGAGACTATCACGAAGAAATGGATGGTAACTCATTTGAAAATTGGTTCAAAAAATTTTTGCCGACACTTGATGATAACGCAATTATTGTGATGGATAATGCCCCGTACCACTCCAGAAAATTGGAAAAAATTCCAACAATGGCCACCAAAAAGGCAGACATTCAACAGTGGCTTGTCTCAAAGAAGATCGACTTCGACCAAACAATGGTCAAAGTTGAGCTGATAAATATAGTCAAGCGACATAAGTATAAATATGAGTTAAAAATTGTTGACGAAATGGCCAAAAACCAAAATAAAACGATTCTCAGGCTGCCTCCCTATCACTGCAAACTGAATCCTATCGAGTTGATTTGGGCCGACATCAAGCAATACGTTTCGTCAAATAACAGCACTTTTAAGTTTTCTGACCTTAAAAAACTGTTTGCTGTTGCTGCCGATAGAATTACGCCAGCAAAATGGAGAACATGTATTGACCATATCCAAGAGAAGGTTGAAACCAAAATGTGGGATATGGACAATATCATTGACACCCAAGTTGAACCCCTTATAATTGACATCAACAATTCTGATGATTCAAGCTCCTCGGAATACAGCATATAAATCGATTGATACCATTAAGACTGGCAGTTTAACGGGCTTTTTGGCAAGACAGGTAAGTTCATTATAGACTGCAATCAAAGTGTAAGTTTCTAGTTATTAATGTGGAAATTCCAAATTTATAATTACACAAAATTAAGGTTAATTTAGGAGTTCCAAAGCATAATAGTGCCATTTTGACCTTCTTCCTATTTCTCATGTAAATTTTAATAGCAATAAAACTAACAAACTTTATGGAGTCTGTAATAAACTTTTGTACTACTACTACTACGTCTGTAGTTTCTATTTGCTCAAAAAAATTTGCTCTGCATTGTGAATAGAAGGTTGATTTGTAAATATTATTGGGTATATATGTAAGTTAATAATAAAATATGAACAATTTCAATTGGGATGGTTCACAAGTTTTTTTCGTGTGCGTTTTAGTAACATTTTGCTGAAATGGTGAATACAGAATTTTTTGCACTGATTCCTAATGTCGAAATATGATTAGAAAGGCGTGGTATATTCCTGATAATTTACTATGCTTTTGATAGAATTTACAGCAACACATGTCTTGTACGACATTTTTTGATAGATCAGTCACAATAGCTTGATACGGCCCTGTAGCGTCTCCTACGGTTAAGTTCTTGATCACGTGCAATACGGGTACCTATGTATATGTTTGATTTTACTTTGTTTCTTCGATGGATATGGTTTAGATAGCTGTTATTCTACCGTAATGGATACTGCTGAAAAAGATAATAGAACTAGGGCGATCGATTGTTAGAAAGGTTGACTTTAGACAATTATGAAATTTTGGGATTATAGTACAACTAATGGAAGCAATTCGACTGAAATATTTTCAAAAGGTTGACACTTGGACACAGAGTAGTACCAGAGGCGACACTCTGTCAAAAATCAGGTTCTATCAACGCCAACTTGAGTTCTAGAGTTCTATCCGTTTGGTGGCATTCCCATTTAGGGGTTATCCGTGAAATGTTTTCACACAACACATTTCTATCAATACAGATCAACTATCTGGCCTAAATGCATTTGGGGAAATGATAAACAGAAATTTCTTCATTCTGTAGCTTGACATATGACATTCGTGACGTCAGGCTAATAACGCCTAACAACCCCTAGAAAAAAATCCCCCAGTCGCTAATGAACATAAGCGGGAAATGTGGTAATCGGGTGATACCGGAAGTAGTTATGCTGGCGGCCCAAAGCATGAATTTGAGTGAGAAAAGAGAGATTTTCAAAAAACGTAGAGAGAAATAGTGAGTTTGTACATAAAAAAGTGAGTTAATTTTCTGATAAATTGAATATCGTGATCAATTATATTTTAAAGAAAGTTAGATTTGTATCCTACAAAATTAAATACCTTGGGAATATATTGATAGAAAAATATCTTCGAACATTATACCATGCACTGATTGAGCCTCATCTCACATATGGTATATTAGCATGGGGAGCTGCATGTTCCTCACATATCTATAATTTAGATGTTTTTCAAAAAAGTATTCTAAAAATGATATTTAAAAAACCGAAACTTTATCCCACTGAAAAATTATACGCAGATGTTCGAATGTATGATATAAGACAGCTTTATTTCTTACACAGTATCACTCACTACCATAAATTTGTAAACACCGACCAAAAAATTAAACATAATCATTATACCAGGTACAAAATTCGTGGCACAGTAGTTCCTTAACCGCATAAATCTATAATGCAGCGATCATATCTCTATTTAGCGCCTAAATTTTATGAAATTATACCTAAAGACTTAAAAGATTTACGTTTCGGAAATTGTTTCAAAAGAAATTTAAAAAAGTGGCTACATTCTATATCTAGGACTGGAATTCATAAACTCATAAATACGAACATCAACTAAATACATAATCTACTGTAGCTAATTTTTGTCCTTTTTTGTTATTTGCATTCTACAGTTTCAACTTAAATTTATTGGTCCATGTACAGGCGATGCCTTCTATTGGGTCTGTTTTGATTTTATATTTATTTACTCATATTGTTTGTTATCTTTGTACATTGAGTGAATAAATATTATTATTATTATTATATACTATGGAAATGATAAATCGCCATCATGTAGCATATGCCATATTAGATTCAAAATGGCGGTAGTTAATTCATTATGCTCAATTTTTTAAGGTTAACTGGTTCAAAATTCAGTTTCAGGATTTGTCCCACACTCGCATACCAACATACAACAGTTACTTATAGGGTGCGTCATCTATTACTTTTTTTTTCTATTTGAAAAATCAACACGCTTTTTACGAGGTGTAATCGAATTTTTTTATTGATAAATAAAGGTTGGTTTATATCATTTATGTATGAAAAATAACATCAGTCATGTGACCACCGCGGCTTCTTTTACAGGCCAACATCCGAACATCAAAATTTTCAATGACTTTTCCCAGAATAATAGGGTCTATGGCCGCATTTTCAGTCCGAATATAGCGCTTTAGGTCTTGAATTGTCCGGGGACCATTCTCATACACTTTCAAAAATCCCTAAAGAAAATAGTCAAGAGGTGTTAAATCGCACGATCTCGAGGGCCAACTGACATCTGAATTTCGTGAAATTATGCGGTCTTGAAATTTCGTGTGCAATAAGGCGATTGTTTGGCGGGATGTGTGAGCCGTTGCTCCGTCTTGATGAAACCAAAGATCGTCGGCACCAATACGATCCACTTGTGGTCACAAAAAATCTGTTAACATGTCGCCATAACGTTCCCCGTTGACGGTAATGGCCTTTTCTCCGGCATCTTCAAAGAATAATGGTCTAACGACGCCACCAGTCCATAATCAGCACCAAACAGTCACTTTTTCAGGATGGAGAGGTTGTTAACGATATTGATGTGGATTTTCAGCCCCCAGAATCTGCAATTTTGCTTTTTTACGTACCCATTGAGGTGTAAATGAGCCTCATCAGAAAAAAACACTTTGGCCGAAAATCCGTCTTCTCTTTCCAGCATCCAATGTCGGCCAAAACTAGTGCGAAGTTTGCGAAAAGTATTTTTTATATTTCGACCGTTTTCGTAATAAGTTTGGATAATCTATATGCGTTGTTGTGTTGTAAACGAATCCATGACTATAAATGGCATACCATTGACAGTTCATTTATGCATACAACATGACTTTTGACTCACATGGTATCACATAAACTTATGGGTAAAAAAGTAATAGATGGCGCACCCGTTACAAGGCTTCTGAAAAATGCCATTGTTAATGCAATCCCAGCTCAAATTGAGCCAGGAGAAAGTGAAAACGGATCAGGGTAAATTCGTCCCTCCAAAACTCCGAATTGACAAACTAAGTAACATGTTATTAGTTACCTAAATGCGCAACTTTTCTTTCATAAACTACTTTGTATTGTATTGCTTATCGTTTAGGAATTTAAAATCCAATGCATATACATACTATATTATACAGGGTGACTTCGAAGTTGAGTCATTTATTTTAACAGTGAGTAGATCTGATCAAAAGAAATGTTTTTTTCCTTTACCATTTTTCTGGTAAAATTAAAGTAACAAAGTTATAGCCCTTTGGAATTTTGAGTACCGCCCCGTCTCAATAATAATATTATGTGCTCGTGTTTGGCGACAACGGATATAATTCGCCTTATCGGTTCATCGCATCGGAAACAAAAAAGCGAAAGAATTTGGAACGATGTTTTTACAATTATTTCATTCAGTTGTATACAGTCAGTGTCAGTCGGTAGTCTATAGTGGTGTCTGTTGCGTGGCTCAAACGAAATAAAAAATGGCACATGTTTATGCGGATCGGTTTCCCAATCGAGTGCAACCAACCCCTCGTGCCTTTGTTAATGTAGTACAACGGGTTCGTGAATCATTTGACTTAAGACCTCACATATGGACGGCATGCCGGTGCTCCAAGACATCACGATCAAATACAGGTCCGCACTGAAATACTTGTCGGGAGGACTAAACTACTAGCGAGAAAAAGTGAATGTTTTCAATGAAAAGTGAGTTGGATCAAAAAAAGTGAGTTTCCAGCATCCCTGACTTGCTTATTTTACATGGAAACACCCTGTTTCTCATTTATTTTTGGATACCTCGCGGGACTCATAGCACATTACATGTATAACATTGTATACCTAGGTCTAACCGTTTTCAAGATATCTCAAACTTCACCTAAAAAACAAGTGCAGGGGTTTCAGAGCGATAAAAAAAAATTGATTTTTAAAAAAATCAAAAAGTCATACACTGGATATACTCATGATCAATTTCGTAGAATTTAAAGAAGAATAATGATATAACGACGTACCTGACTGCAAATGTAGGATCATATTCAAACTCTAATATTTCTTGCGGGTAACCTATTGAGACCATGTGTTGTTTTATCAGATCAAAACCAAGCTTCTCATACTGAGGCGATTTATATTCTACAACAAAAACGCGAATCAGTTATAGAATTTCAACACGTTTTTAATAATCTTACCTGCCAAAGTGTAATCCATATCAAATCCATAGAACTTGATATTTTCCAAATGCAGACTTCTGTTAACGAATATTCTGGAAAAAGAAGAAAAATTACCAATCCGTTTGTTAAAATTGATGTCTTATACAAGCAAGTCTGTTATTGATTTATATATGTGGCGGTTACCGAAATTACGCGGTGATGAATGAGCTTACATATTGATTAATAATCTGCCAGAAATAACATCGGTTCGAAACCTAAAAGTCTAGCATACTCACACGTGAGGAAGAGGTTTGGACATCGCAAAAACAATATTAACTTGTTAGAGGATTGTGTATATGATTATAGCTACCGTGAACTATGAAATTGGACTCATCATAAATATCCGCTATATCTGGTCTGCAGCAATAATATAATGAAGCAATTAGTTCCTTCACCGTAGTTAAAAATGGGTTGAGTAATGTGGTACTTATTCAATCAACGATTATCTGGCATCATGGATAGACGAGATAAAAATCAAGCCTTTGTTTATTTTTCTTATTAATCCAATGGAATGAGGATTCTTACAATTTGGCTAAAAGCAAGTTTATCTACAGTTCCAATGTATATCCTAGAAGTTTTGACGCAAAATTCATTGGCTTTAATTTTAACAAACACCATATACGAGGGACGTCTTTTAAGTTTTGCATATGGAAATAAAACAACACGGTAGGTAGTTTTAAACGACTTTATTGTTACCGTTACCGAAAACAGACAGTAACTCAGCAAGGCATACTTGTTGCGATAATTGTCTCTGAAAGTTGCAATAAATTATGGCGCGAAAATGTTCTCGGTTGAGACTTGGCGACACTTAAAAATTCACTGTAGTGACAACACTGCACGTATTGTTGTGAAACTTTGAATTTAGGTTTACTAAAAACTGAGGTTAAGATTCAGTACTGACGTTCGATCCGCGCGGCCTACTATTTTTCTATATGCAAAACTTAAAAGACATCCCTCGTACTCGTAATATCAAGTTGCCTTTGGAAACAAAAGTTTCTTTACTTACTTTACTGTCAGTTGACATTCATTTATTTTGATGTTTTCGCTTTAAGATATCGTATAAATTAGAAATAAAAAAAGTATCTACTAGTTGGTTGGGCGGGTATCCAAAGCTGAAATTTGTAGAATATTCCAGAATGAAAACATTTCACGTAGAACCATGTATCGAACAATAGCGGAGTGCGAGCAGGAAATACCATGTATGAATCTCCCAAAAAGTGGAAGATAACGTACATTTACTACACAGATGTCATATTGGTGTTCTAGCCGTGTCGAACTTCGAACATCCAGAACTGGCCGATACGACCGCTCCTTTGTACCAAAGGTGTTGAGATTATGGAACAATCTACAAGAGGCGGTGTTCTGCCATTTAAATGTAAAAAACACATTTTGTGCTACTTCTAGCACATACTAGCATCATTAAACAAGAATTAACGTATGTTGTGTATCTAAATATGTCTCGTTCTTGGTCAGGTTTACTTAGAATGTCCATCTCCACAAAAGTAAACTGACTAAAATAAATAAACACAAACCGGAACACTTAGAATAAACTATGGAAAAGTCCGGCAGGATATCAATACACTTTGTTATCTTGAAAACGAAAGCGCATATTAAAAACAAATATTTAGAGACACAATAGAAGGTTAAGCGTTGGAAATTTTCCTCATGACTGTAATCATTACACGAATTACGCATTCAGGTAAATCAAAAAGGTAGGTAACGGTCTTTTAATAAGGTTGGACCCAAATATGAATGAAATTGTAAGAGTTAATTTATACAGAAACGAGTTTTTTAACTAAATTTTCTAAGAAAAATTGCCACAAGTATTCTTCGATCACCTTTTATAAACAGCAGTGCATTTTACTAGGTTTATACCATACCATTTTAAGGTCTCCACTTAAATATTTCGAAAACTATACAGTCTAGGAAAGTTGTAGACTTTGAGGAGGCAAAATGATGGCAAGCTTAACAATGACCTCGACTTCAACATTTACAGTCATTTCAAGGTCAAGTTAATATTAATTTTCAAATGGATTCCAGCTCTTTGTCACGTCTTGGTTGATCAGAGAAGGAAATCTTGCGTCCGAATATTACCTTGGCCATGACCTTGACCAGTGCCTTCAAGGCTATTCCAAGGTCAAATCAAAACATCGAAAACAATTAATTTACTCTAGCAAAAATGTCCGACAGCACAGCTGTGAGATTTGTGTGGATCACCCAAAGGTGACCTTGACCAAAGACAAAATTTCCGGAGGACATCGTTCATTATTATAATGAAAATGGAAAAAACAGGAAATTTTGCGTTCGGGTGTTAGAGTTACCCTCAAATAGCATTTAAGCTTGAATCGACCTTGACTTTGAGGTCAGGGTCACGTTCGGACGTGGGTGATCCCCACAAACCTCACAACTGAGCTGTCTAACATTTCTACTTGAGCAAATTGTTTTCAACGCCGTGACTAGACCTTGAAATGGTCTTGAACAAAGTAGCTGAGGTCATGGTGATGGTCATATCCGGACATAAAAGTTCCTCCTCTTGTCAATTTCGATGCGAAAAGGGGGTTCTATTTGAACATGTTCGCTTGACCTTGAAATGACCTTAAAGGTCGTGGTGAAGCTCATTGTCAAGGTCACCATCATTTTGTCTCCTCGAAAACCAGCAGGTTTTGTTTGAAACTTTTTTCCTAGGTTTGCGTAGTTTGCGAAATCTTTTGGAGGGGACATAAAAATGCATGTTAGGCAGTTGAAACTGTTTACTTTTCTGGCCTGCAAACGAAGAATTTTCAGAATTTCCAGCTCAGCGAAAATATTTGATATACAGGTGACTTCGAAGTTGAGTCATTTATTTTAACAGTGAGTAGATCTGATCAAAAGAAATGTTTTTTCCTTTACCATTTTTCTGGTAAAATTAAAGTAACAAAGTTATAGCCCTTTGGAAGTTTGAGTACCGCCCTGTCTCAATAATAATATCATGTGCTCGTGTTTGGCAACAACGGATATAATTCGGTTCATCGCATCAGAAACAAAAAAGCGAAAGAATTTGGAACGATGTGTTTACAATTATTTTATTCAGTTGTATACATACAGTCAGTGTCAGTCGGTAACGCGGTGGTGAATACTGGTGTCTGTTGCGTGGCTCAAACGAAATAAAAAATGGCACATGTTTATGCGGATCGGTTTCCCAATCGAGTGCAACCAACCCCTCGTGCCTTTGTTAATGTAGTACAACGGGCTCGTGAATCAGGTGACTTAAGACCTCACAGGGGACCTCACGATCAAATACAGGTTCGCACTGAAATATTTGTCGGGAGGATACTTTATAAAACAAGGTAAACATTTTTTTTTATTTTTACACACATATTTTGGTTTATCTTCCTTCTACAATCATTATCTGAAAATTAATGACTCAACTTCAAAGCCACCCTGTATAATCGTAACACAAATACAATGACAATTCTTAAGAGCATGTTCTGATTTTGTTTTCAAGTTTGACGACCCGTGTATCTGCTATTTAGGAGTATCCTGTATCGAAACACTTTTAGCTATGTCGAATGGACCACTATACCATCTTAATTTCGCGTTTGCTGTCCACGGTGACTGTAAACTCGGCCGTGACTAACTCATCCTGCCATCTGGTCGGATATTTATTCCGCTTTCGACGAGTTGAGAAACATTCCAGCGTTTTCGGGAGCTTCCATGGAAGTAGTCTAGATGACAGCAGATTCATTTTCAGGCGAATACTCACAAGTATTATAACGTCGCGAACGGTCCAGAACGCAAGCTCGTTCCATACATGATCACGTAACTCTGGTTGCCAAATTCAAAAATGCTCGCTTTCCTAGATGTATCAAACATCAGTTACCTTTAGAAATAAGACAACACAAAGTGCCATTATTACCAGAATCGACAATTGCTAGAGTGATGGTGAACCTATGGCACACGTGTCAGTGCTGACACAAGCGCTTCAAAGATAAAAAATTTCATAATTCAAATATTTATATCTCATAGTAATATTACTTACGTTAATAATAATTAATAATTTAATTCTGAAACAAGATGTGCATGTACAAGTATGATAATATTGCATCACAAATATACATATCAAAAACATTTAAATACTTTGTTTCAATATTGATATTGATATAAAAATTGACTTTCTACGTTAACTGTCAATGAAATATGTAAAATATGTCTCTGAATGTATATCATTGGTTTCATAATTTTGTTTTGTACTTTAAATTGCATTAAACTAACAATTATTTTACAAGAATTAAAAATATCTCTATTTTTTAGTCTTTACTTTTGTGATATGTGACATGCCACGAAAATTATATTTCGATTTTTCAAAATTTTGACACACCGAACTCAAAACGTTCGCCACCACTAGCATAGACCATGCTGATGAGTTGCCAAAAAGCACGAAACAGCGGCCGACAGTTGGCTGGCTGGCCAACTAGAATACATTTCCAACAGAAAGCCTGCTGTTTCACTCTCGCAGTGGTCGATTTTGGGATGTTTCGAAAAACCTTATATCCTGGATTCATACGCGTCCCTTCCCACTTCAGTTGGCCCAACTATTGAAATCTTAGTTTTTTTCTTATCAAACACAGGGTGTTATAGGTTTAAAATATTAACAATGAATATTTTGATAATATATAGTAGAAAACACCAACTTTATCACTCCCTAATCAAATTTGCAGCATAAAAATAACACATGTTGCAATTCCAGCAAATCAACCTATTTTCATTTCAATGCAAAATAAGTTTATAACGCATAGGTGGCTGTGAAAAATAAAAGCCATGACAATTGTTTTTATTAATCTTAGATGTCAGAATACGTTTAAAATAGTTTTGGGTAGTTAAGGTTTTCAAAATGGGTAGAGGAAAGGTTATTAGTGAGAAAATTCGGTTACTGATAATTAAATTTTTTAATTCTGGGAAATCATGCTCGGAAATTGCAACTTTGTTAGACTTATTGCGGTACAGTGTGAGAAATATTGTTAGAAGATATAACGTAACTGGTTCAGTTAATATTAAGCCACGATATGTGAAAAAA